TTTTGCATGTAAAGAACCTACTCAACATATTATCTATTGTAACAATAGGGCAAAAGAAAACAAAACAATGTTGCTAAGTCGTGCGTCAGAGAAAACCTCAACAAGCTCATCTGTCACTCCCATGATAGTCACTCCTACTGGCCAACAAGTTATCTCTGTTGCAGAAATCTCATCAGTACCTTCTGTAAGTCATACTTGAAGTTGCTCATTTGAGAGTATGCTTACTAATTTTCTCATTGTCTACCTTTGCCTAAATAATAAAAACAAATTATATTTACTCATGAGTAATTTAACACGTATTATGCATATGATATTTTCCGACAGATGGGAGTGTTCTATGTTGAAGCAGAAATGGCCATATTAGACGAATTCCAAGAGTTTTGTGTGCATGAATGCTCAGGATGCAAATAGAAGAAGCGCACAAAGGATAGAAAGGATTTTGAATGTCCAAAATGCAATCGGAAAACAGCATTAGTGCCTCGGTACTATACTTTTGACTTGTAAATTACACTTTGTACAAAATATAGCATATATTATGCACAAATTTCAAACTTGCCATCATTTCATGTGTATCTTTCAAATTGATCTTATTGATGGTACTGCTACAACCACAGCATCTATCTCTACTGAATTGGGAGAAAAATTACTCTCCATGACAGCGGAAGACATATTTGACATAACTTGCACTAAGGTGATCTCTCATTCCCGCTGGCTACTTGTACATATGTATTGTCACAATACCATATGTCTTCAGCAGAAACAATTTACTATATATGCTTAGTTCTAAAGTGTTTGTTGTAACTCTTTACATTTACTGCGGCAATCATTGTCTCTTGATAATGTCCATCAGATGTTGTCAAACAAAGTATTCCAAATTGAGCTAAGGAAGTCATCTTGGAGCAGCTCAAATAGCACGCATGCAACTTTGTCCATTCTTTCCTACATGGAAAAGGAACATACTCCGCAGGCACTACTGATAGGAATTCTAAAAAGATAAGGCCTTTGGAAATAAGTGAGGTGGATGTGATAGCAACAACTATTGCAGCTGGTTCTTCAAATGCGACGCCAAAATTTGAACCACCCACACCAACCAAAAAAGTGTAAAAGGTCAGTCTACATCTAACTTTCACACCAAACTATAAGTCACAATGATTATCAATTCCACATATTTAGAAGTATTTCAAAAAGTTCTGGTAAAAAAAAACAACACAGTGAAGTAAAGGTAGAATCATTTAATTGTACTAAAGGTAGTACTAATTATACAGTAATTTGCCCCTTTTGGAGTTAAAAAGGACGAACACTACCATCTTTAAATTGTACTAAAGGTAGTACTAAGGTTTCCTCAAGATTTTTGTTTGTTTGCGATGCCCTGCCCAAGTATTTCTTCATGGTTTAAGGTAAATCTACATTCTTGCTCCATCATTTGCTCTTTCTCCGATTCCTAATTTATCTTGCCTAGAGCATCTTTTTTTCCCTCTTTCTTAGTATATTCCTCTGGTGCTTTCACTGATTTTAATTTGTTCGGTTTTTTAAAATTTTAGATCCAAATTATTTCTGGTATATGAAGATCTTTTTAATCTAAAATTTCGGTACAACTTTGAGCTCTACTTTTCTCCTGTTTGATCTGCATTTTCTTTTAGCACTGTAGATAGATTTGCTTTTACATCTCTCTCTATTTCGTTGTAGATGTAAACATATTCTGATTTGTCACATATGTTGTATCCTCACATGTTCGATATTCAGAGCTTTTATATGTCTTTGCTTTCATTTGCCTCAATAGTTCTCCAAAGAGATTCATTAGTGAAGTCAAAATAAGATAGCCACTGAACTACACATATCTTCATAGACGTTTTCTCTAAAATTAAAATTAATTGGGTATTTCTACTGATTGTTTATGGTTAATGTATGTTCTTTTCAGTTAGAGGAAAGATAGTTTGAAACCCACCAAGTATACTACTGCAAGAATTTACAACCCACTACATTTCTCTTCGACCTCTCAAGTGGTATACTGTAAATTTCTTCCTATTTCCCTTTTTCCATTTTCAAAAATCCCAATCATAGAGCATTTACTTTAATTCAGACCAACTTTCACAATCTTTTGCATTTGCTCTTATCTGCTTTCAAATTTCACAATTTCGTTATGTTTATGTTTAACATCTCTGTGGCGTGAAAATATGCTATTTTGATTATTACTTTTGAATTAGCTTCTTTTAGTTAAAACAATTGAGCAGCTTGATTACTTCAGAGTTAGCACCATCTCTTTTGGGCAGTCAGCTGTGTGTCTTTGTCATGTTATTAAGCATTCAAATGTCTTTTAGTTTTATGGAAATAAATTGTGAATTATTATCATAACAATAATTGAATACACTTATGGAGCATCTATACTCTCAAACATTGTTGGACCTCAATTCTACTAATTACAGAGCTGATCACAAAGAGATGCAACAACGAATCTATCACTTTTATCGTGATTCCTTGAATTTCTTTCTCTTTGATACCTAATGGCCATATAAATTTACCTTCAAAGTGTTGCTCATTTTGGGTAATTACCCCCCCCCCCGCTAACTCACCATCTATTGTTCTTTCTGAAATTTCCATTTGCTCTTTTGCAGTTTCTGTACTAAAGATGTGCCACTTTGGATGTTAATATTTAAATTGTTTTGCTATGTGTTGCCATATTTTCAATTTCTAATAGACTTTAAATTCTCTAATTACAGGAACTCCCTCACTTCATTTTGCCACTTTTGCTTAATAGGGAGAATAAAATGAATCAGTCTCCCTATACTATGGGTTTTTGAATGAAGAAGATTCGCTACTAAGAAGCAAACTCCGATGTCCTCTACATATGATAAACAATGACATGCCAACGTTATATACCAAAACTGAAACATCTGCTATACTATTTTGGTTGTATTACATTAGTTAGTATTTGCAGATCGTTCAAATCGTCATCATACTGATGTCTGTTGTACATATTGTAAATATATCTAATAATATATAATATATGTAATATTATCCATCTGCTAATGTGATCAGTAAGTTGTGCAAGTCTTTTGAAATCCAAGAAGTATACTACTGCAAGAATTTACAACCCACTACATTTTACTTCCTTCAATGTTATCATTCATTTGAGATTCAACAGGGAATCTATCACTTTTATCGTCATTCGTTGAATTTCTTTCTATTTGATACCTAATGGGCATATAAATTTACCTTCAAGGTCTTGCTCATTTTGGGGGATTAGCCATTAGCCCCCCCCCCCCCCCCCCCCCCCGCTTTAACTGATCATGTATTGTTCTTTCTGAAATTTTCATTTGCTCTTTTGTAGTCGGCATCATACTGATGTCTGTTGTACACATTCTCAATATATCTAATAGTATATAATATATGATATTATTCATCTTCTGCAAAAGTCATCACCCTTGATTCATTAATATTAATATTTTAACAAACATAATATTTTGACTATTGGGCCCGTGCTTGCCACGGGCCTTCCCCATCTAGTATATATATATATCACTTTAATCTTAGGGTTTCCATATAAAAAAATTTGTCATTACTTATAATAGGAAATCATAAATAGTTAAAGAATTGATTATCTCAAATTTACATATTTTGCGGATGTAACTTGTAAGGAATGTGTTTTATATTATATTATCAATTTTGAAGGGTGTGATTTCCTTCTTCTTCTTTTTTTAATGTGAAAGGGGTGTGATTCCCTTATTTTTTTAATGTGAAAGGGGTGTGATTCCCTTATTTTTTTAATGTGAAAGGGGTGTGATTCCTTTATTTTTTAAATGTGAAAGGGGTGTGATTCCATTATTTTTTAAATGTGAAAGGGGTGTAATTCCCTTTTTTTTTTTAATGTGAAAGGGGTGTGATTCCCTTATTTTTTAAATGTGAAAGGGGTGTGATTCATTTTCTTTCTATGAATATGTGATTTCGAATGCAAAAGAGGCATAAGTCCTCTTTTTATTATGAATGTGTGATTTTCTTATTGTTAAATGTGAAATGGGTGTGGTTCCTCTATTTTAGTTAGATTTGCAAGGATTGTGATTCCTCTATTTTATTTGAACTTGCAAGGGTGTGATTCCCTTATTTTTTATTGTGAAAGATATGTGATTCTCTTATTGTATGTTAAATTTGCTAGTTAAATTTGTGATTAAGTTGAATAGTTATTTGAATTTATAGGAACATTTATCCTTGAATATCTAAATGGATAAATTTTTTATTAAGCAATCACGTTCTAGTAGCAGGCCATCTGTTAGTTCACATGTAGCTCCAGAAGCTCAAAGAGAGACAATTACACATTCTTCTTCAAATGTTGATTGTATTCTTGGGGTTGGATCTCTCAAACGGGATCCCGGAGAAAGAAAATCCATCTTTGAATATGATTTTAATATTCGAGATGTTGTGAGGAGACATTATATTTTGATGGGGCCTTATCAACCAAAACTTCATGTATATCCTAAAACAACATTTGGGACTAGGAATCTGCAATTTAATCCTGTGTGGTTTAATGCTCCAAATTCTGCTTGGTTGGAATATAGCATAGATGATGATGCTATATTTTGTTTGTGTTGTTATCTCTTCAAGAATGAATTTGAAAGTCGTGGCAATGCGGAAAAATCATTTACACAAGATGGATTTAAGAATCAGAACCATGGTCCGGAAAGAATTCAATTGCATGTTGGTGAGGTGAATAGTATTCATAACAAATGTTTGAATAGATATTGCTTGATTTTGCGAATCAACGTCAATCAATTCAATCTTTTCTTCACAAGCAAAGTGAAAAAATAAAAAGTGATTATCGAATTCGTTTAAATGCCTCAATCGATGTGGTAAGGTTTCTCCTAAGAAATGGATTGTCATTTCGTGGTCATGATGAGAGTGAAGATTCCGATTACAAAGGTCTTTTTCTTGAACTTTTGAAATTTCATGGGGTTAATCGTCCGGATGTGGAAAAGGTGATATTACAACATGCTCTAAAAAATGATATGATGATTTGTTCAACAATTGAAAAAGAGATTGTCGATGCTTGTACTAAAGAAACAATTAAAGCTATCATCAAAGACTTAGATGGTGATTATTTTGGAATACTAGTTGATGAGTCAAAGGGCATTTCACAGAAAGAGCAAATGGCACTAGTTTTACGATATGTTAACAAAAACGAAGAGTTGATAGAAAGCTTTTTGGATATTGTTCATGTGGGTGATACATCCGCAAGACAATTGCAAAAAGTAATTTACTCTTTACTTTTGGATCACTCGTTATACCTATCAAGACTCCGTGGACAAGGTTATGATGGAGCTGGTAATATGCAAGGAGAAAAACATTGGCATAAAGTCTTTGATTTTGCAAGATGCTCCGTCTGCATATTATAGTCATTGTTTTGCTCACCAATTGCAATTGACACTTGTGGCTCTTTCTAAAAAATATCCGAATGTGAAAAATTTCTTTTATGTTGTCACTAATGTTTTGAATACTATTGGGACATATTTTTAAACGCAGGGACTTACTTCGACAACACCAAGTTGAGAAGTTGGAAGAATTGCTTAAATTTGGAGAAATTCTTACCAGACAAGGATTAAATCGAGAACGTGGCCTCCAACGATCGGGTGATACTCGTTGGGGATCCCATTTCAAGACCTTCGAAAATTTCATGATTATATTTTCTTCAATTGCTAATGTGCTTAAAGATATGAAAGAAGATTCTCCACATGATCTTGACAAACTTGCAGCAGGTAACCTTTTAGATAAAATTCAAGAATTTGAATTTATCTTTGTGTTGCATTTGATGTTCAAGATGTTGCTTCTGAATTGAACAAAGCTTTACAAAAGAAAGATCAAGATATTGTCAATGCTATGGGATTGCTTAATCTTTCAAACAGAAGATTACAAACAATGAGAGAGAGTGGTTTGGAGTCTTTGATGGATGAGGTTTCTTCATTTTGTGGTAAACATGATATTTTGGTTCTCGAAATAACTGAAGATTAGCCAAGATCGAAGCGTAAGAAGTCCGAAATTTCATATTCACATCACTTTCGTGTGGAAGTGTTTTATGCAGTTATTGATTTGCAACTTCAGGAGCTCAATAATCGTTTTGATGTTGTGACTAGTGATTTATTCCTTGGTATGGCTAGTTTGAATCCGGTTGATTCATTTGCTAATTTTAGTAAGAGCAAAATAATGAAGTTGGCTGAATATTATAAAAGTGAGTTTGGTGATAATGAACTTCGAGATCTCAGTTATCAGCTTGATAGTTTCATTGTCTATGCTCGAGAGTGTGATAGCAAGTTTCTCAACTTGAAGGGGATTAAAGATCTTGCTACGATGATGGCACAAACAAAATTGGATCAAACTTGGTCTCTTGTTTATTTTCTTGTAAAGTTGGCTTTGATTTTGTATGTTGCTACGACAAGTGTGGAAAGCGCATTCTCCACAATGAAGCTCATCAAAAATGGTCTATGTAATAGCATTGGTGAAGAATTTTTGAATGGTTGTTTAGTTTGTAAGATAGAGCGGAAGATATTTGAAAATATAAGTAATGATGCTATTATAGATCGTTTTCAAAATATGAAGTCTCGTCGAGTACAATTGTAAACTGATGATATTTTTTGTGGTAATTTAATTTTTATGTATTGCTCGCTTAGTTATTGTTGTTATAAATTTTTTGATCTTATCTTTAAAGCAATGGTGCACCCGTTTTCTTGAAATCCTGGATTCGTCTGTCTACAGTACTAATCCATGCATTACTAATTCATACGTTACTAATCTATGCATTATCAATATTTGTACCAAACAACCCCTAAGAACTATTTCAAAGATGTGAAATGTTTTCCCAAAATTAAATAAGCTTTCTCTAATTAATTAAAAAAATATAGGAATCAACGGAATTAATTAACATTAGCTAGTTATTAATGGAGAAAAAGATAACAAAACCAAAATAATTAATTAACTTAAAAGGAAAAAGCAAAGGAGAGGGGCAGCAGAACGTGAGGGAGGAGATAGAGAAAGCAAGAAAGAAAACTGTAATGAAGACCTTCATGTGTCACCTTGTGGGGTAACCACTAATCTCATTGTATTCATTCCCAACAATCTAAGTGAATTCATCCCATCCCTCAAATCTGAATCAGTAGTTATCAAAATCCAATCGTCATCTTCATCTTCATACTATATTGAAAACCTTTCAAGTGATATCTTAAGCCTCTTTTCCACTTTCCCCTCCGATTCTACTCTCGTTGATGAAAGGGAGAGTTGAAACATTATAATATCACCTCTATATGTAACCTTTAAAATCATCACACTATCACAAGGTTTTCCTGTTGCAGGAAAGTTCTTGTTACCCAAATATTCAGTGCCTTTTTCTTGGGAAAGAGCAGGACATTGTTGATCAATCACATATGGTTCAGCACCTTGAAAAGATATGCCTTGGCTAACATGGACATTAACCTTTCTAGTCTTATGATGTCGCCATCTAGCGATTTCATTTTCTCTACATATTTGTTTCAGTGTTGCTCGACTAACTGCAATAAATGAAGTCCACAAAAAGGATTTCAGTGAATCTATGCATAAATCATTTCAATTAAAAGGCATATGATCTTTTTCTATCCTTTGTATTGCTTTGTTCTTAGTCGTTGCATTTCCCGCATAATTAATTAAATTGATTGCAATTTAATTATTTAATATAATTTTAAACCCACACCCAATTTAATAATTCAAACCAATGGTTGAGTGTCACGTAATTAAAAGGATTATTTAATTATTTTAAATGGTGCTCCGTTAATGAAGTGGCTAAAATTGGACCCAAAGGTGGATGTGGAGGGTATTGTGAGCCAATAGGTGGATGGGAAGGGTATTTGGGAGGAGCCAATAGGTGGATGAGGGGTAGTTGTGTACCATTTTCAATATTTCGAGGGTATTTTAGGCCCTTTTCCGTTTAAATATTATCATCCATAATACAAGGTAGCATTTCTTACTAGTTTTACATTACATTGTATATATATATCTGTAGTGGCATTTGTTGGGTATTATTTACCATGAGTTTCTTATCATAAATAGATTTTTCTTTTCCTAAAAAGAAAACATAATTAAAGACTTCATATTTGGCTAGTCCTTTCTCGTAGGAAAAAGTTTAGGACTCTATAAATAGAAGTTTGTTCCTTCTAACTTAGTTAACATTCACAATATAGTCTTAGGGGCTTTGAAATTTTTGGTGAGGGGAAATTTGTGGGACACAAGTGACAACACCTCTTTTTATTGCGAGTGAATTGGTTGAAGTTATTTATTGTGTACTCTTATGTTTATACCGTGGATTGCTCGTCTCCTTTTTGAATGTAGGTTTGTTGACCGAACCACGTTAAATCTATGTGTCTTTTTGTGTATTTCTTGCTTGTCTTATTACTCATGGTCTATCAAAGTTTGATTTGCTAGCTTCCGCATGACACCTAATTATTTCGATCCTAACAAGAATTGAAGCCGGGGGACACAATCTGGCTACCATTATTAGGTGGCTCCATATTACAAAAAGTGGAAGTAAAATACTATTAAATTTAATAGTAGTATTAACTAAAATCTTCCTTGTGATTCCTTTTCTATATATAGGCATTTTTCGTAATTTGATAGTTCCCCATTCGTAACAGCATTAATCACCTTGGTTCACTGAGCACAAAGACATGTCACACAACACAGCAGGGAAGAGACCAACACCATGTCACCAAAAGATAACATTTCTGCAATGAAGATGAACACCATAACAAAACGTACAAAAAATCCTTCATGTCTCAGCTTTTGGGATAACCAGTAATCTCATACTAGTCCTTCCCAACAACCTTAGTGAATCCATACCAACCCTCAAATCTGAATCAGTAGTTATCAAAATCCAATCGTCATCTTCATCTTCATACTTTATTGAAAACCTTTCAAGCGATATCTTAAGCCTCTTTTCCACTTCCCCTTCCAATTCTATCCTCGTTGATGAAAAGGGGAGGAGTTGGAACTTAATGATATCACCTCTATATGTAACCTTTAAAGTCATCACACTATCACAAGGTTTTCCTGTTGCAGCAGATCTTTTGTTACCCAAATAATCTGTGCCTTTTTCTTGGGAAAGAACAGGACATTGTTGATCGCTCACATATGGTTCAGCACCTTGAAAAGATACGCCTTGGCTAACATGGACATTAACATTTCTAGTCTTGTGATGTGGCCATCTAGAGATATTATATATTCTACAAATTCGTTTCAGTGTTGCTCGACTAACTGCAATAAAAGAAGTCCACAAAAGAAATTTCAGTGAACCTATGCATAAATCATTTCAGCTAAAGGCATAGGTACATATATATAATAACACAAAAAGAATTATGAACCTCGAATTCGCTAAAGTTAGTGAACTTACCATGTAGACTTTTGGCAGCATCTTCAAGAGTCATGCCATAATGCTGCTCCAGAATCTTCCGGGTAATCCCATGATCTTTTTCTATCCTTTGTATTATGATGTTCTTCTGTGAATGGATTTTCTCACTGTTAGTTGTTGCTCCACGGGCAAAGTTACTTTCTCTGTTTATAGCTTCAGCTTGAAACGATTGTCTGACATATCTAAAATCATTATGCTCCACTTTGTCATTATTCCTTGCATTGCCCGCATAATTAATTTTTAAATTTGGTTGCTCAAAGTGTGAACCAAGTTGCATCATTTCACATGTATCCTCAATGTGGTCATCATGTGCTACATCCACATTAACCGTTCCATTGTTTGTCACAACTTCCTCTATTGGATGAGGAAGTAACGGATAAACCTCCACTGTCCGCTCACAGTTGAGTGAGTCGCGCTTGAGTGATGAACAAGAAGGAACCAGTAGTGCAGCAGCAACATTATTCTCCATGTTCTGTACATTTGACTGTTCACAAAAATAATCAATTTCTGTTGTTTCTCCTCCATCCTGATGTGATCCACTCGGCAGAGGTTGGCTGATTTCTGTTGTTTCCCCTCCATCCTGATGTAATTGAACACTCGGCAGAGGTTGGCCAATTTCAAAGGAGTCAAGCCTTCCAGGTTTGGCTCCAGTCTCTACAGGCTCAGCAGCAGCTTCTTGGGCTGGGCCAGTGATTTTCAATGATTTTTTTTTTTTGTCAAATCTTAACGGTTAAATCGATAACCGAACCGATAACAATCAAAAACCGATAAATCAATAACTGATAAGTCAATATCTTAATGGTTCTATAATGGTTTAGCATCTCTACAACCAGGGCGGACTCAACAAAATTTGGGGCCTAAAGCCAAATCTTAAAGAGGGGCCCTAATCTTTTTTTAAAAAAAAATCATCATATATACTTTTATTTAAAATCTACTTTTATGGCCTTTTTAGATGCAAAGTTATTAATTATATGTTTTAATAATTCCTTTTCAATTGATAATATAGTTAATCCATTCAATCTCCCTTGAGACATTGTTGATCTAGATAAAATTTTATCAATTTTCATTTCAAAAAACTTCTTTCGGCTGAGACAACCGTGAATTGTTAACATCATTCTATAAACAATACTTTTTTATTCAGAATTTTTATTTTTTGTTAAAAAATCTATCAAGGGCTCCTTTTTGGGATTTATTTAATTCTTCAAGTTTTCTCTTTTATCTCTTTTTTTGTCAAATCGAAATCATATTTTCTAGTTGACATATTTAAATTGAATAATTTTAGAACAATTAAAACGACGACACACTTATTATTATATATCTTGTCGAATTATAATGTAACTATCTTTTGCTTTCATTAGTAGAATTTATTTCATTGATTTTCTTGTGTATTTAATATTTTATATTTTTGACACTCCTTAATAAAATTCTGACTTATCAGCGGTACACTTACCACTAATTTATAGGAGGGTGCAAGTGGCTCAAGAAGCTCAAAAGGTTCAAGAGGCTCAGCATTTTTTTTTTGTTGGAAATAGATAAAGTAATCTGTACTACATTTTTCCACGCGGTAGTTAGTGTGGAAATTGCCAAAGGAAAAAAAAAAAAATAAGGCAAAAAGTTGTGGAGTTGGAATATAGACATCTTTCCATGAGCCCAAACGTAATTAGATAATTCCCATTTTTCCACGCGGTAGTTAGTGTGGAAATTGCCAAAGGAAAAAAAAAAAAAAAAAGGCAAAAAGTTGTGGAGTTGGAATATAGACATCTTTCCATGAGCCCAAACGTAATTTGATAATTCCGCATTCATAATAGCAGTGTTTTAAAAAATCCTATTGGGACTCGTCTCGAGGCTCGCCCTAGGGCGGGACTTTAGCAAAACGCCTCGAGACTCAAGTGTGGGGCTTAGTTCCGTAAGACTTATGTCCTAAGCACCCAATTGTACGCTCTAAGCATGCCCAACACCCAACACTCAAGGCTCGCCTAACAGATCTTACACAGTGTTAAAAATTTTAGTTAAGATTGTTGACCCTCATAATTTTTGAATAATTGAATGATACATAATAATTTTTAATCTATGGAGATAAAGAAAATTGAGAATAACTCAAATAACAAGTTTTAGTATCACATCTTTCCTATTTGGTAACTATATTACGTAACATTTCTTTTATAAATACGTCACGAATTTTTTTACT